AGCAGGAAATGAGCGCCATCTTGGCACACTCGGTGGGAGGGGTAATCTAGCGCAGGCTTCAAGGGCTGCAGCAGGCCTCACCCAATGGTCCCTAGGAGTTTTGGTTCTGAAGCCCGATTCGCGGCATGGGCTCTCTACAAGGGGGGTCTCTCCCTCAGTGCTGGAGTGAGGGTGGGGTGGGTGGGGAGCCATCTGGTGGCCAGAACCTGAGCTACAGGACTACGCTGGAGCCAAGCCTCAGGGATCCCAAGTCGTTGTCTTCCTCCCTGCTCCCACACCGTGCTCTTAGGAAGGGTTCCTGCCATGGTTTCCTTTCTACCTTTTTGTTTCTGGTTGTCCTCCAACCCAGACCCAGACCAATTGCTAAGACACTCTCCAACCCAGGGATCTGCCAACCCTACCCTCTCTGCCTGCCATCCACCCCATCCAGACACAAAGAAGAGGTAAAGGGCTGGACATAGAGTCCAACCCATCCTCACTCTCTCTTGTCCCTTCCACCCTGGAGCTGGCTGAGGGTCAGCCACCCTGAATCCAAGCCTCCCATCCAAGCCTCACAGAGGGGGCTATCTGTCCTGGGCGCCCAGAGCCCTGCCCACAGCCCACCTGGGTGCTACTGACAGAGCTCTGTCAAATCCCCTGACATTGCCCCACACCCTGGGACCCAGCCCAAGGACCTCAGCTGCAAGCCTCAGCCCCTGTACCTGCAGCTCCCTGGCCCTCTGCAAAGGTCGCTGAGGCCTCTGCTCCAATAGCCCTGGGCTGGACTGGGTCTCTGCGTGGCTTTTCCTCATAGGGAGGAGGAGGAGGAGGAAAAGGAGACTGCTGTGCAGCCACAGCCTCCACAGAGTCAGACAGAGCTTAGGCACGTGGAGACTTGGCACACAGCTGGTGCAAGTCCTGCCAGAACTCCCATTGGTTTGCTGCAGCTAGAGGCAACATTCACAACACCACAGTCCCTGAAATCCTCCCTCAACCCCAGCAGAAAGGTCACAGCTGAAAAGGGCCCATGCTGGGAATGGCAGACACACGCCAGGTCACCAGGCCAGCTCAGGGAACATGGCGGGGCTCTCTGTTGGGAGCGATGATGAGAGGAGGAGGAAGAAGTAGATCTCGAGGTCTCCGGGTTGTTTGGGAGAAGCCGGAGCAATAAGGGCATCTCCAGCAATAAAGAGCAGGGACACATGGGCACAGGCAAGAAGCCCTGTCGTGGCTGCTGTTTTCAGTTCCATGTATGGCCACCCTGCTGGCCAGCAGGGTCAAGGTACTCTTGGAAAGCAGGGCTAGAGTCAACTGTGGGGGTCATTCTGGGCACTGCACATCTGGCCCCCACTGGGGGTGGGGGTGGGCTCAACGCCGGCTGCAGGTGCAGTCCTAGGAATTTGGCTCCAGTTACGCGGGCCCACCCTCTCCGCAGCCCAGGTAGGCCACCAGGCAGGGAAGGACAGCCACACTCTCCCACTAAAGTTTGGCTCCCCACCAGGTCAGTCCCTCTCCCCTGGCATGTGACTGCAAAGACTGTTCAGTCTCACTGAACTCCAGGAGCCTTGTGGCTGCACCTGGACAGGGCCTGGGCAAATGACAGCAAGGTGACTGTCTCGGCCACCAGCTGCCTGCCTAACTGTGCCCCAGGTCCAGCAGACTACAAGAATTAAGACTCTACTTGGTGGTGTAGGACAGAAGTGACTACAGAGCGCCTTAAGCAAAGGTGAGAATTTACTGAGTCCATCTTAGCTGTGTTCTGCTGTAACGCAGCTCTGCTATAGCAGACTGATCATTTATAAACAGAAGTTTGTTGGGATCATGCTTCCTGAGGCCAAAAGCCCGAGATCAAGGAGCACATCGGAGAGCATTCTGTGGAGAGGCCCGACTTGCAGGCTCAAGTCCTTCCATAATTAATACTGACCCTTTCATAATGGGTCCCTTGTGCCCTAAGGACCACGTAGGTCCTATGTCTTTTGGTGTTGCGAGGAGTAGAACCCAGGGCCTCCAACATTCTAGGCAAACACTACTACCGACTACAGAGCCATGTCCTCAACCCAAAGCCTGCGCTCAGTGTGCACTGGGGATATTTCTAATACATGCCTTTGCAAGGACTTGCCAGAGTGCATCTCTTTTCATCCCGGGGAATCTGCTTTGTTCTGAATCACTCCACAGTCAGAAAGCCCCCCCCCCCCCGCTCCCCCAGGTGATGTGAAGGCCTAGCTTCATCACGTAGGAGGGGAGGACCAGCTCCAGGCAGCTGCATGTTCCCCAAGCCCTTGAGCAGTTATCAAGAACTCAGAGTGGGTGGGGGCTGAGCCCTAACCATGAGGTGGCCACATGGTTGTAGAGGCTGTGTGGTCAGGACCAGGCCATCATCCCCCAGGGGACTCTCAGGAGCTGGTCCCCAAAGCAGGGGGATGCTGGGGTGCTGCCAATGCCTCCCTGGGGACCATGGCTGTCCACTCCTCACTGTGAGACTCACCAAGGAGGATGGAAGGCAGATGGGAGCCTTGCTAGGACCCAGAACTCCACCTTTCTGGCTGGAGCAGAAGGCCTATGACATGGTTCTGTTCTCAGCTTTGCTCTTCTCAGTGGGGCCGCGTAGGGCAGAGAAGCCCGATCTCCAGGCTGAGCTGCAGAACTCAGACAAGGAAGCCATTTACTTCTCCCTGCTCCCTCCTGTCTGTGCATCTCTGTGACCGCTGCCTTGGCCTGCACCAAGCAGTGCCCCGTCCACCTCAGTCCCTTCCTGGAGCCCACCTGTGCTGCCCAGGTCTCCGCCTTCACTCGTCAAGTCCCCACATGAAGCAGGTGATGGGGCAGTCTCATGAAGGAGTGCGAACCTGCAGAGTTAGGGTAAGGGGCAAAAGGCCGAGGTTCTGCGGCCCCAGTGCTGTCCCGCCAGGGTTACACAGCCAGGCTTCTCTTTCATGGCCGCACTACAGCTTACCACCGTAGCCTGGTGAAGCTAGAGAAAGACAAATGTCAGGGGAAACGCCCCAGACAAGTCAAAAAGAGCTTCTTTTCCGAATACGACTGGAAAGGATCTGTTTAGAACTTCAGGATTTTTTTTTTTTTTTAATGAAAAAGAAAGGGGGAAAAAATCAGAAAACACCAGATGGCTTCCACATACGCAAATATTGGGCCAGTTCTCGTGACCTGCCTCAGGAGACGGCTGGAGAGTGGAGGAGGGAGGGACAGCCGGGAACCAGGCAGGGACCCAGCCCCCCCACCTCCGCCCCCCAGTGACTCACGCGGTCGGTCTTGGGCTGAGGGCCACCTGGGGCGGGAAGCTAGGGCTGTGCTACAGCAGATCTGGGGTGCAGCTCCCTTGGGCGGCCTCTCTGGGCTCCCTGCTCTTGCTCAAAGCCAGGGATCCCTGCCTCCAGGGTTTTCAACCTCCGAGGAACCCTGGCCTTTCTCGGCAGAGCCGAGTCCTCTCCAGGAGAGGGGAGAGCTGGGAGGGAACGGTCTCTGCGCGCTCTTTCGTGCTCTGCGAAGAGCCTGGCGCACGGAAGGGGGTGTTTGGGTGCAGGTATCTTGTGCCTGACATCGCGCTCTGTCTTACAAAGACCGTGTTAATCCTCAGCACGGCCTGGAAGTGGAATATACTGTTATCCCCATTTTACAGATGGGGAAACAGAGCCACGGAGCAGTCAGTCCCCTGTCCGCCCTTCACACTAAACAGTGGCTGACCTGGGGTCCGAGCCCAGGTCAACGCTGTCCGGGGGCAGACGCCTTCGCCGTACTGTGGCGACCGGGGAAGCCGCCCCTCACCCTGGGTTTAGGCTCCAGCCCGGACCGCCGTTGTCAGGACAACCGGGGCCCAATAGGAGCAGGAGGGGGAGAGAAGGCCCCGCCCCCGCCCCGCCCCGCCCGCCCCCGCTCTCCGCCCCTCGAGGGCTCGCAGACTTAAGAACCCGAGCGCGCGGAAGCCGGAGCTGGAGAGCGCGAAGCGTACGGGAGACCTGACCTGAGACTCAACCCGACCGGAGACAGGCGCGGAGCCAGGATGTGCGGTGAGTGCGCCTGCCGCGGCCGAGAGCCTGCGGGCCCTGGCCGTCCCCGGCGTGGGAGCTTTCACCCGCCAGGCCTGCCGCTCCGCCCCGGGGGCGCGGGATGCCCAGCCTCGGGCGCCGGCTCACCCCCACCCGCGTCCGGCGAGGGCGCTTTTCTCCAGGCCGCCCGAGTCCTCCGCGGACGCTCCACGCGCAGCCTCGCGGGCGCAGGGCGCGCAATCTGCGCCTCCGCCCGCCGGCGCGCTCCTCCGTGGCCGCGAACGCTGTCCCTGGAAGGGTGGGTTTTGCGCGGACACTTCTTTACTGAGGAGCTCGGGAGGGGCGCAGGAGGGCGGTGAAGTGCCGGCAGCTAGGCGGGGGCCAGGGCCGGCTGCGGCGTACCGACTGCCTGGGCGGCCAGCGCTGTCCCCTCGCGGGCCCTCGCGCACGTCCGCGATCCCTCACGCTCCAGGCTGGGCCGCCTCCGCCCGCTGCCTGGGAGCCAGGAACTTCTGCTGGGACAAAAGGTCACTGTGCTTTTTCCTCCTTGAGTAGGATTCAGTTACCCATTCCAGCCCCCTGTGGCTGGAGAACCGGGTGTAACTTCTGAAACCATGAAAGGCGCTCTCTGACTTCGGGAGGGATGCAGGGTGGGGTGTGCCAGCTGCCAGCCCCGGCCAAGGTCTGAACCGGCCTTGTGTTGCAGGCCAGAGGATTACTGACAGAAGGAGTGGGCAGCCGGCTTTGAGAGGTTGTCTCTTAATGGTTTTCTTTTGTAGTGAATTCATTTACATTTTTGAAAATTGAATCCGTTTTACAAGAAAGTGACATGACTCTGCTCTTAGTACAAAGATATAGCGAAACATGTTACGGTGTTCCCGGAATGATCTATGCAACATGGAGGATCCTTTACATGTAAGGAACTGATGCCCAGCAATGTCTGTGCACACCTGTGCTCGGGCAAGAATCGTTCTAGGTCGGTGTCTGTCACTACCATTCAAAATAGCCTTAGGAGAGCAGATCTCTTGGAGCCCAGGCGATCACTCAGCGTGCAGTGCCTGCTTGGCAAGTACAAGGTTCTGAGTTCAATTCTCGATACAAAAAAAAAAAAAACACCCCAAAAACAAAAACCAGAGATCAGATCATCTGGGTCTGCAGGTCCCGCAGGAGTTGAGACCAAAGGCCTAGCTTCCTTATCAGTCAGCTGACCACTGGGTTTAGGTTACCTTTGCTGCTCCTTCCTCAGAAACCCAGGACCTGACAGTAGTTGATCCTCCACAGACTGAGCCGCTGTGTGTCACAATCTTCAGTGGGAATTTAGCTGGAAGGACCCCTCAATGCTCCTATGCAGATTTGATCATAGAGTCACTGGACTTCTGTTGGCTTTGCGCCAGTGGAGAGTTTACTGCTGCCTTCTCCCCTCCCCCCTTCACCCAGTGATGTGTGAATAACTGACTGTGGACTGGCCGTTTCCAGGCCCTGTGCTTCATAGCTCACATGGGTGTGATCCTCCTCATGAAGGAGTAGGTGAGTTAGGGACTGGAGACCAGTCAGGGGCCAGGTAACACCACAGGTAACTCTGCCACCGAAGTGAGATTACAGTATCCTGGTACTGTGGGGCCACCATGCAGATAGGCATTTTTGGTTTGATAACATAGTTTATGCATTTTAAATTAATTGTCCCAAACAAAATTAGCTGCCAAACTCCAAATGGGCAGAATTCATGTCAGTGGGGTTTTTTACTTTTCTTGAAAAAAAAAAAAAAAAAAGTCTGAGGATCAACCTGAAATCCTGAGTCAATATTTTACAGTAGCACATGCCCCTGTCCCCATACAGAGAGAAGCAGGCGCACGCATGCCGGGCTAGAGGCGCAGCACTGGTGGGTGTCTGCTCCGTGGTCCCATCGCCTCCCCTCTCCTCAGACCTCCTTGTGCCTCAGTCCCAGAAGGACACTTGTTCTGGCAGTTGGATTTTAGTGTTCTCAGATTATGCAGAGTAATCTCACAGTTTAGGAGCCTTAATGTACTCTCATGTAGAAAGATCTGTTCCCATAAGCAGCAGCCTTTGCAGATTCTGGGGGTTCGAGCCTGGTATCTCTGAAGGCTGTTATTCATTGTCCTGAAGTTGGATTGCCACCTTGGAGTTCCTTCTTTGCAGGTAGCCTAGGGTTGTACATCTGATGCAGTCTTGGCCTTGAGCGTCTCAGGCAAAGGTCCCCCAGCATCCCTTCCCATGCATATACCAGGTCACTGCACTCTCTGACTGGACCCACCCGACCCAAAGCTGAGAGCAGGCATCAGCCGACAGCCCCTCTGTCTTGGTCACTTTCCCATTGCTGGGGCCAAAACCCAACGCCCACAGCGTACAGGAGGAGAGGCCCATGGGCACAGGCACCAAGGCAGAAACAGCAGAGCAGAAGAGCAAAGAGGAGGTGATGTGCTGTCCTGTGGCAGCCAGGAAGCAGAAAGGGAACCGAGAGAGATGCCCCTGCCAGTCACATCTCGGTGACTGCCTCTTCCCACCAGGCTCCATCTGCTAGTAGCACACACCACAAAACTCAGAGGGGGGCTAATCCACCCATGAGTATATCACTCCAGTGATCCAGTCACCTTCCCAAAGCCCCCCTCTGAACACATGAGGCCAGGGGGACATGCTAGACATAAACCCTAACACCCTTGTTCATCGGCGTGGTACCACAGGCCCAGTGGGGTCAAACAGACTTTATGGATTCTTTAACAGTCAGCTTCTGCCTCATAGGATCATGCCCTCCTTGTATGTACACATTTTCTCGGTTTATCCCTTCTTTGCAAGAAGCAGGTTTTTCTCTCAGAACCAGAAGAGGCCAGAGACACATACCCAGATTGTTTGCATGTGTAGCAGTTCTTTGAGCAAGCTCATCGAAGACTTAATCTGACCTTGCCTCTTTCTCAGTTGGGATAGAGATCCTACACTATGATAGCTTGAGAAAGGGCAATCCAAGGAGATTAACTGACTCATGTGAGGGTTTACCTTTCTCCCTATGTCTTCCACCTCTGCAATCTCCTTAAGACATCCTCTCTTCCTTGTAAGGAAGTGATGCCTCTGGTGAGGATGAATTGAGGGCACAGACTGTGGGACTGGGTAACCAGGGTAGTACCCTAGCGGTACCTAGAGTTCTCCAGAGGAGCAGAACCAGAGACCACGTGTGTAATTACCCAAGATTTATTAGGTAGGCTTGCAGGCTCATAGTGGAGAGCATTCACGTGGCTGCCTTTGATCAGAGGCAGGGGAGTCTGGTGGTGGCCATCAGCACACTGCAGAGCCAGAAGACCCAGGGCCTGCTCCCAGGCCAGGAGAGCCACAGAACAAGAGGGGTCAGCTGCAGCCCTGGTTCCAGGTCAAGGGCCTGGGAGCTCGCTGGCGAGCCCCCCCATGAGCCTGCCTTACAGCCTGAAGAAACTGGATCTGATGTGCAAAGGCTGTGGCGGAGCATCCTCATGCCCCTTTCCCCATCCAGGCTACAAGCCTGTTTGTTGGTGCCACCCACATCCAGCACGGTCTTCCCCAACCTGGTTGCCGGCCTGTGTGCTGGTCATCGTAGACATACCCAGGACTGTGCTTTCTAGTCTGCCGGACATTTCTTACTCAAGTCAAGGTGACATATCATGATTAATGGTTGAAGGGTGCTTGGCTAGGTATCTTGCCAAACCTCACACACCTTTCCTACCAGAAGTGGGCAAGACTCTCCCCAGTGATGCTTTGGCATGCGGGGAGTAAGGGGCACTCCTGTTTGTCAGTTTCTGTGGCATCAGAACTTTCACCATGCTACCTTCAGGTCACCAGTGTGAGGCCCTGAGTGTGGAGTTTGAGAAGAAAATATGTAGCTGGTTCTAGGCTGCCACGACTGGCAGCTCCAACACAAGACTGCCCAGCCGTAAGTAGGTGCGAGAGTGGCCCTCGGCGGAGGAATTGCCCGCAGCAGGCTGTGTAGGTCTGGGGCTCCCGGTGCTGGCTGCCCTCCTCCACTCTCCCTTCCTCCTCCTCCCAGTTACAGCACGCTTCCTCCATTGGTCAGCTTTCTCTGTCAGGGGTTTTCCAAGTTCATAGAAACCACTGGAAATTTTATTGTATGACATTACCTAGTAAACAGTGATTTTAAATGAAGGAATTGTTTTTTATTTAGCAAAACTAGTTTATAAGAGAAAGTAACTTGAAGTTACACGCAAGTTGGAAAAAAGTTTAAAGATGAATTTATAAACACAGTTAAATAATTGAATCAAATTATTTGCCTTTAATTTTAAAAGGAAACAGTTCTCACTGAAAGAAAGTTTTGGCTTCTTTTACAGACAAATTTTGGCAATTTAACGAGTTTCTTTTTTTGTAAAAGACTTTCTTTTAATAAAAATGAAAAGTATATGGTGTATCCTACTTTATTTTTGTGAAACATTAAAGTAACATGGACATCAGGAACTTTTCTTTTAAAAACAGAAATGCTTTGTCTGTGTTTGCTGCAGAAAGCAGTCTGTTGCTATCTGGTGGGTTTATCTGTGGTAACTTTAGCCCAGGCTTCTCAAGGAGGCCTGGGGCAGGATGAGTCTGCAGGAGCCAGGCCCCTCCTCGGAGCTGTGGAGGGCCCATTCAGGTCCTCCTCTCAGTCCAGGAAGTTTATATTTGTAATCCTGTGAATAAGTTATTGGAATCCTATCAGGTTAATTCCAGTGTACCACTTCCAGTGCAACCCACCTCGAGAACAAAGACACTAAAGCATATTTATAGTTGTGGGGAGCTAGGGCGCTAAGTCCAGCCACGGTTATGGCTATCTGAAACAAAGGCCTTGACCCAGGGCCAAACCTGGGTTTTATTCAGTCATGAAGGAGGAGTGGCTTGAGGATGAGTGACTGAGAATGGCAGGAAGTAGGTGAGGGCTGTGAGCTGGGCTAGGTAGGAGGCCTGCATTTACCTCTGCAGTATGTTGCGAGGAGGATATACAGAAAGAGTAATCTGCATTGCTCAGATGAGATGGTATCTAATGTTTTGGGGTA